ACCCTTCTGGGCACCAAACCCTTCTGGAGTGTGGGGCTGGATGTTCCCTGGCTCTTCAGGACAGCTAATACCCACTGAAAACCCATCAGTGCCAAGTTCTCTCCTGATGAAGGCTCAGGCAGTAGCAAGCACAGCACCTGAGAGTGGTGAACTTCCTGGCTCCACTTGCTGTTCCTGGACACCAAAAGACACTCAGCAGAATGCCTGGATCTACAGCAACATCCTTCTGGGAGCTTAGCCAAGGAAAGCTCTGGGATGGGATGGGCAGACCTTGGGTTTGGGTTGGGTGAGGGAAATGAAGGCTCATGGCAAGGGATGCCTGAGGGTTGGGGGGCTCAGCTGGACACTCCAAGCCCATGGACATTCCTATTGCTATGGTGCAAAGGGAAATTGAGGTATGGATCACTACAGGAGACCTGTCAACACCTCCATAAGAACTTCCCTGGAAAAAGCAGCATTACCTCTGCATTCTGCATCCGAAACAGCCGTGCACTTCTTCACCAGCACCTCGTTCTCCTCGCAGGTGGTGCAGGGCAGACAGGGATCCACAAAGTTGGCTTCGCTGGAGAAGGTTCCATTGGGACACTCCTCACAGACAGTGTCCTGGGAGTCCTTGCAGGGGTAGACGAGGCCAAAACCTACATCACACACCCTGCACTCCTCGCAGCTCCCGCTCGCCTCGTCCTGGAAGTATCCGTAGGCACAGCGGCACACGGCGTCGTCCGACTCCACGCAGGGAGCAGACATGCTCTGCAGCCCCACGCACTGTGTGCAGGGTTTGCATGGCTCCGTGGCACTCACCGTGTCCGAGTAGGTGACACCTGGCAGGGCACACAGGGTTAGGTCAGTGGGTCCCAGCGTGGGGTACCCATGGGCACTTTGCTCCTCAGCATTGGATTCAGCCCATCGATAAATGGTGCCAGGGTGGAGTCATAGCTCATCTCCACACTGGGGTTATAGCTCTTCTGCACACTGGGATCACATTGGCATCTCCCTGCTGGGATCATATCCCATATCCTCACTGGGATCACATTGCCATCTCCCCAC